GGGGCTGAAGACGGAGGTGCAAATCTCCACGCACTGTATACAGCACAGCATCCAAGTTCCATTTTAAAGCTATTTTATTTCTATCATCTCTATTGATCTATCTATCAAATTCATACGGCTGCCTATTTCACACAAGGTGACTCTTCAGTAAAGCCACTTATCTGGTGCCAAGGTAAATTCTAGCCCCCCCCCCCCAAGACAGTTTAAAATCAAAAAGTGCTTAAAGCCCCTCCATCGAAGGAAGCGGTGGGGGTGGGGGGGTTGTCCTGGGCAAAGAACAGGCTTTGCGGCTCTTCTAAACCACAGCTGGGGGGGGGGCTGTCTGCATGGGGGGGGCCCTCCGGAGGACCAGCCCCACTTCTGGGGTCTCAGTAGAAGGCATTGTTTAGTCAAAGGAGTCCTGAGTGTGCCCACCCTGCAAGATTGAGCCAGCTGGGCGCTCCCTCGGGCACCCGGGCCCTGTGCCAGGCAGCGCTTGGTGGGCGGGGATCGCCCCCTCCGAGGCAAACCGCCCGCCAGTGCAGCTCGGGGGGCAGAGCTCCTCCGTGGGCCCTCCAGACCGGCTGAAGCTTGCAGGGCAGCCCCGTGGAGCCCAGCTGCAGAGGGAAGAGGACAGGGGCCGTTGCCTCAAGGACCCCCCCCCCACCATCTAGGAGAAGGTGCGCACTTGTGCGCGAGGTGAAGTTGTGCAAGAACCTCTCTGGCCACAGTTGCTCTTCAGGCAGCAACCTGCGGTCCAAGAGGAGCCTCAGGTGGCCCATCGACCTCGAGGGGGGGAGGTGCCACCCCTTCTGGGCAGCCTGAACCCCCACAGAAGCCCCCTCCCCCCCTTGTTAACCAGAGACGGCTCTTCCCCATCCAACCCCACCCCGCCTCCAGGCCCCGCGACTGAGCCTTGACGGCCTCCTCACCTGGCCGGCCCAGGCTTCCAAGGTGGAACCGCACTGAGCTCCCGAGCAGCCTCAGGTAGACGCCCCACAAGAGAGGAGACAGTACCGAGCCCTGCAGGGCCCCACACAGTGGACCTCTCCCCTCACTGTCAACACCAGCTGACCCTGAGAAGGAGGGGAGGAGAGCCTGCGCCACGCCACCCTCCCCAACTCCCAGGCGTGAAGGGGGGGCTCCCTGGTGCCCTCTGAGCTCGGCCGTTTTCTTGCAGGCGTTTCAGGACCCAACTAGGGACCATCCTCAGTGCTAGGAGGGAGCGGGTTGTGCTCTGCTCTCTACTAGCACTGATGATGCTACCTAGTTGGGTCATGAAGCGCCTGCAAGAAACCGCCAGGCTCCCCGGTACCAAAAGCCGCTGGGAGGCCCCACCGCTGTTCTGGCTCTGCCACGCCCCCCTCCAAGGAGCTAAATCCTGGCCTGACAGCCGACCCCCGGGGGTCCCGGTCCCTGTTTCTCCCGAGGTCTCCCCAGTGGCAGGCCAACCCCCTCCCCCATCTCCTCCTGAAAAGGAAGGTCCGAGGCTGACCAGCTGGAAGTCGTTGGGGTGCAGCCCCTCCTCTTTCTCCCCACCCCCTCCTCCAGAAAGACCCACAACCCGGCCTGCACACAACTGCGGGAACAGCCACCTCCGCCCGGCTGCTTCAGTGCTTGGCGGTTTTGGGCTTGGGCTTCCGAGTTCGACTTTGCTCTAAGGTTCCTTTGCTTGTGGTTCTCTTCCGGAAGCGCCCAGGGAGGTTTCTTCCTCTGTGCCGCGGCTTCTCTGCAGGCCCAGCTCGATCCCATCACCCGCTCAGGTCTGGCTGGGCTCCTCTGCGGAGCCTGGCCGCCTCAATCGCACGGGGACAATGGTGGCTTGAAGCCAGCAAGATACCCCCCCAGCATGCCCCCCCCCAGCGCCGGGTGGTGCCCCAGCCCTCCCGAGCCCCCCTTGCCTTCGGGAGAAGCGCCCAGGGATGGGCCTGCGCTGGTCCTCCTCCGCCCCCCTGGCCCAGGTGAAGCGGCAGGTGGGAGGCCAAAGGGCCCTGTTGGGGGAGGTTGCTTAGCTGAGCCTCCCCATGTTGGGGAGGGGAGGGGGTTGTCCAAGGGGTGGGGCTGCAGCCAGTCATGGCCACCAGAAGGAAGGAAGATGGGGGGGGGGCTGGTCTCTTGAAAAGGCTGTTGGGGTGGAGGAGGGAAGGTGGACCCTTCCAGCTCCCATTATTTCTGTCCTTAAAAAGCCGCCAGGTCAGGCCGGGATACAGCACCGCGAAAGTCTGATTTTGGCAGCGTCGTTCTGGTCTCTTCTCGGGAGAAGTTTTGGGGCTGGGGGAAGAAGCAGCTTCCCGCGGCCTCCCTCCCTCCCTCCCTCTCTTCCTTGCAAAACCCCAACCATTCTGCCTGCAAAACTGGCCCTTCCCAGTGCATTCGGGGGGGGGGGGGGGGGGGGGGGGGGGGGGGCCCCGGCCCCCCCTGCGCGGGGGGAGCTCACTGACCGGGGCAGAGACACAGACCTGCCATCCGGCTGCAGGACAGCGGGAGGGTTGGGGGGGGTCCCGTTAGAGGCCGCCTTTTGCTCATTAGCTCCCAAGTTGGATGACCCAGATATGAAGCCAATTAAGGGAACGTCAGCCGAAAACAGGAGGAGAAGTTAACTCTGGAGGCACCCCTGGAAAGTCGACCCCTTTCCCGCTTGGGGAGTTTGTGAAATCTCCACCATCGGCAAAAAATGACAATAATTGGAGGCAAAGGAGAGGTTTTCCTGGGGGGGGGGGGGGGGGGGCGCTGTGGGCAAGACTGGGGGGGGCGGCCGGGGGGGGGTGGGGGGTGGGGAGGAAGAGTGGTCAGGGATGCCCTGACATTCCTGGATCCAGGGCCGGAGGGACAAGGGACAGTCAGGAGGTTTGGAGTGACTTTCTCCAGCGGGGCTCCTTCCTTCCTTGAGGGAGCCGTTCCTTTGCAAAGGGGCCCTGAACCTTCGGGGCACCAGGGACGGGAGGTCCGTGCAGGGAGGGGTTTCCATGGACCCGTCCGGTGTGCTGCTGGCATCCTGTGGATGGGGCTCCGCTTGCTTATGTGGTCCGGTTTCTGGCATGCCCAGAACCTTCTGGATGGCCCTTAGAGGCCTCCTTGGGGGGCAGTTGGGACCTCCCCCCTCCTGGCACAGGGTCTTGGCGTTGGGCCAGGCCCTGGCCTCTCTGTCTCTCTCTCTCTCAGCCTCGCTAGCAGGTTGACTGGCCACCTGATGGATGGAGGAGTTTCCCCCTGCTGCGGGGGGGGGGGGGCAAACCGTGCCTTCTCTTATCCCGGGAGGGGGGTTCCGTGAATCGTGGACCTCTTAAAGGCAGGTGATGGATCACCAAAGGAAACCCGTCATTGTCCGTTTTGCTCTCTCTTCTGTCTTTATGGGACCTTAATATTCTTAGTGATTCACCTGGGGCAGGTAAGGGTCCTGTGATCTGAAAAGCCGGAAATCAGACTGAGTGGGAATAACCGTAGCCAGGCAGCAGATGAGAGCCCACCCGGGGGAGGAGCCTGCAGGTACCAGCCCCGGGAAGCACGGCCGGTGGGCGAGCCCAGGTGCCCCCCCCCGGCCAATAGGGCACAGGGCCACACACACACACACACACACACACACACACACTGCAGGGATTGGGGGCTCTGGAGGGCTCAGCCCCAAGGGCAACCATGGCCAGGCCAGGTGCAGGGGGAATGCCTCCCCCCACCCTGTGCAAAAGTGGGGTGGGGGACTTTTCCCCAGGGACCCCTAAGAAGGGAGTTGCCCCCACCCCTGAGGCACATGGGAATCTGCTGAGTGCTTGAACCCGGTTGGTGGGTCGGCTGCCTCCCAGGGTCGGTGGGCAGCCAAGATCTCTCTTGCCCCGCTCCTCATGTTGGAACGGGGCCTGCCAGGAGACAAGGACAGCACACACACACACACCCACACACACCCACACCCACACACACACACACACACCCCTCCTGTGACTCACAACCACAGCCCCAGAGGCCAGTAAGGCCTCGGTTGTACTTGGGGGGGGCTCCTGCACGCCTGCTGGCTGGGACTCCTTCCCTCATGCTTGGGGGGGGTCCTTTGTTGGGGGGGTGCAATCCCCAACTCACTTGGGGCCCAGCAGGGGGGCCACGTGGGACGAGGCGTACATGAAATCCTGGGGTGGCAAAGCCAGGTGTGTAGTGCGGGGGGGGGGACCATTCGGGGGGGCCGCCGGGCGGGGGGGGGGGGGGGCGGCCCCCGGCGGGGGGGGGCGGGGGGGGGGGGAGCAGCTATTCCGTTATTCAGTTTGTTACCCCTTTCACTGACAAGGAAACTCTGGGTGGAGGACGGATGGGACGTGTATGTGCGTATGTGTAAAATGAGGAAGACTTGAGCTTCTTTAAGTTAAACGAGAGGTCGAATCCAGTATTGATTGCTAAAATTGGCGCTTGGTTTTCTGAACATTGTTGAAAGGTAACAATCTTCCCTGTTTGTTGGCAATGCTTAAAACGCAACCATTTGGGAAACAACGGATCCCAGCATAGGATGTTGATCCCCAGGGATCTGCTCAATGTGGATCGATCTTTGCCTGCCTCTGTGGGGGAATTGGCGATCTTCCCGTGGCCAGCTCCCTCCGTGGCCCTGCTGGACGTCCCGGCAGCCTGGCTGGAAGCTGGAACCCCCCCCCTCCGTGGGGGCTCAAACGTCTTTGGCTTGGGGCTAATTGAGCGGGGCCCCAGGCCGGCTAGGCTGAGAGCTGGGCGCAGGCAGGAAGGTCTGGTGGAAGATGCAAAGTGCCAGCCGGTCCAAGAAAAGAACATAGAATAACAGGCTCAGAAGGAACCTTGGAGGTCTTCTAGTCCAACCCCCTGCTTGAGCAGGACAGCCAGGGATCCAGATGGGACCGTGGGGATGGTGGCCGAGGGTCAGCCCTCCTTATTTAGAACTGGGTAGCTTCTCTGGTGGTTGGGGTGCCAGCCTGGCATCTGGGGCTCCTGCTACTCATCCACCACCTCGTGTGTGTGTGTGTGTGTGTGTGTGTCTGTGTGTGTGTGTGTGTGTGTCTGTGTGTGTATTCCAGACAATCCTACTCAAGTGTCCAGGACGGTGCTCAGAATTCGCATCCTGGACGTCAACGACAATCCGCCCGAACTGGCCATGCCCTACGAAGCCGCCGTCTGTGAGGATGCCAAGCCAGGCGAGGTGCGGAGGGTCGGCCCTGCCTAGCGCATGGTGTTCGGGTAGGGGGCGGGGGGGGGCTCTGTTCTCCCGGTCATTCCCTGGCACAGCTGCAGGCTTCTGGCCCTGGGTTTCCCCGGGCCTCTGCCACCTGCGGAGCTCCCCCAAGCCAGCCAAGGGCCCAGAGCCCACACCTGTGGGGGGGCTGCACCTGGGGGGGGGCTGGTCTGGCCCTGCTTGCCCTCTTCGTGCAGGCAGAGGGGCCGGGCCGGCCAAGCGCCCTGTGCTGCCTCCCCCAACGGCCATCCCGGCCTCTTCCGCAGCTCATCCAGACCATCAGTGTCGTGGACAGGGACGACCCGCCAGGCGGCCATCGCTTCTACTTCACGCTGGGCCCCGAGGCCACCGCCAGCCGCCACTTCTCCTTGCTGGGCATCACAGGTGAGCCTCCCCTGGGGAACCTCCGGGGTCGGGCCTAGGGAGCTGCCCCGCCTGCTGCCCCAGAGGGCTCCGTCCCCCCCGCCCCCCTTTCCCCCCCCCCCCCCCCCCCCCCCGGCCCCGGCCCCTCCAAAACCCCCCCCCCCCCCCCGTGAGAAGCGGCCGCCAACGGCCCATCTGTTTCTTTGTACAAATTTGTAGCTGGCTTTGAGATGTGATTTATAAATATTGCTATAGCAGCCAAGATGAGACAGTGATGGATGCCAGGCCAGATGGAGGCTCTTCCTTAAACCTTGGCCTGTCCAGCAGCTGAAAGGGGCCGGCGGGAGGCCCCCCCCGCCTAGCAGAGCCCTGGCGCACGAGGGCCAACGTGGCCGTGCCCAGCTTCCTTCCCTCCCGGGCCCTGGGCGGGCAGGCGGGCAGGCAGGGCCAGTGGCCTGGGCTGATCTGGGATCCGCGGGGGAGATTCCCAAGGGGGAGATCCATTTCAATCGTCCCTGTTTTAGGGTCCTTCCCCAACCTGAGCCCCAGGGGCAGGCAGGGTCTCCCAAAGGGGAGGGGCAACTCTGACTGCCCCCCCGTTTCCCCTCCCCCTCAAGAGTTGCTCAGGTCAGGGAGGGTCCCAGTTCCGGGCCCACAAAAGAGGAGCCCAAGGGAGCCAAACGCTCTCTATGCCCCCCGCCCCCCGCTTGCAAGAGCCAATGGGGAGACGTGGCAGCCTGACCTCCAGGAGCCAACTGAGACACGGGGGTCCGTGAGAGGCACTGCGACCGACGGGCGGGGGCCTCCGTCCCGCCGGGTGCCTGGGCCGGCCCTGGCTGGGCAAATAGATCAGGGACATCCACAGACAAAGCCCACGGAGTGACCAGGCGCCATCCGAATTGTGTCCCCCGCCTAGGTGGACGTTCCCTGGGAGGGTCTGGCCCCGGCCCAGCCCCTCCGCCTTCCCAAAGTGCCCCCCCCACTGCTGCAGCCGCCTCCCCCTCCCCGAGAGTGGAGCCTCTCGGGAGAGCTGGGGACCTAGAGGGCCCGGGAGAAGACCGGGGGCCTGGTCGGCTTGAGTGGGGAGGCTGGGCTGGCGTTGCTTCCTCCGTGCAGGTCTCCAGGGCCTCCTTCCTCGCCCTTCCACGCGGACTTCCACGGAGCGTTGCAGGGAGGCGGCTCCTGGCACCCTGGGGAGGCTTTCCCGTGGCCTCCGCGCAGGGCCCCCGGGTGTCTCTCGCTGCCACTTCCTTTTCTGCCCAAGGGCCCCTCTGAAGATCAGAGGCCCTGCGCCACTCCTTCCTTACCTTCCCCACCCATTCGGAGGCCGGGGGGGGCCCTCCCCCATTTTGCCCCTCCTGCGCACTCCTCCTGGCCTCCAGGCACTCGGCTCCGTGGGCAGAAGGGGGTCTCCAGCCCCGTGCAGGACGTGGACGTTTCTTCCTCGTGGTGGGCTAAGGAAGCGGGTTGGGGGTACGCAGCCTGGGGCCGCCGTCTTCTGCCATGCTTCCTCTGGGCTGGGGGCCTCCCTCTACATGAGGACGGGCGGGGGGGGTCCCACATTTGGTGAGGGCATTCCACAGTTGGACCCGATGGACACAATCCAGCCCAGCCTTTCCATGATGGACGAAGCAGCCCCTCCCCTCCCCCCCTGGCTTCTTCCAGCTGTTCTTCTCCGGTGGGGCTCAGCTGCGCTGCCTCCGCTTCCTTGGCGTTTTCTGAAACCGCCTTCCACACCTGGCATATCCTGCTCCAAGCAGGGCGCTAATTGGGGTAGAATGATTCCAAGCGTTGTTTTTACTAGCGTGAGAAATTGAGGATAATGTGGACTAGATTGCGTCCTCTGCAGCGTCTCCTTTGGGGTCCTGGGTGGGGGGTGGTCTCTGAGCTGGCTTTCTTGCAGACATTGCATTACCCAACTAGGGAACATCGTCTGTGTGTGTGTGTGTGTCTATAGCAGCTCTGCCGGCTGCTTTGGGTGGGGCCTCTGGCGCTGCTGCCCTTCTTGGTTAGGCTCCTCCGTGAGCTCTTTGTGTCGGCTTGTCTCCTCAGCCAAAGCCGCCGTCTCCTCTGACCTCGCTTGCCTTCTCCGGGCGCTGGGACTTTGGCCCTCTCTCCTCACCGGCGCCCTTTACGCCCACCACCCCTCTGGCTCCCTCCAGCGAGGTTTAGAGCAGCCCCTGAGGGATGGGGGGGTGAGAAACCGTTTGCGGATCCTTCTGCTTTCGTCCGACTCGGAAGCTGTCTGGGAGCAGCCTGGCATCGCCCCCCCCCCCGCCCCCGCCAGGTCTTTGCCATTGGAGGCGAGCGCCATCTCTTTGCTCGCTCCGTCTGGAGGCGTCCGTGTGCAGGGAGCCCGTCCTGGTGGCTGGGAGGCTGCATCAGCAACGAAGAAATAATGAGATTGGCAGGAGCCGAGAACTCGTCCTCCGGCTTCATGGAAGGTTCCTACTTCGGGCTCCAACTGCAGTTTCCTCCCAAACACATTTCCAGCCTGGGCATTTTGTTCCCCGCCAGAGCGGCCCCTCCCCCTTGCGCAGCCTGTCACTTTCCGAGGCAGCTGGACCATAAAGCCCACCAGCCCCCCTCCCTCCCCCCTTCTTGAATGAGCGTCAAACGGAAGGGTTGCCCACCGTCTGATTGGCGTGATTGGCTGCCCGGCTGCACCGTGGCCCGGATCGTGTCTCGCTGCACCCTCCCCAGGGACAAGGGCGTGGTTCTGCGTGGCTCTCTGAGCAATCAAGGCTGCCGTCCTCTGAGCCAAAGCGCTGGGGGCGGGTCCGTCTCCCGTTGCTGATGCCCGAGGTGTCCCTTGCAGCCCCTTCCCTTCCGCTCGCCTTCCCTTTGCCCTGGGATCCTGCCTGGGGATCGGCCGCTGCTCTCCAGCAATGGCCAGAAGGTCTGGAGGAGGCAGCCCCAGAAGGAGGGGCAGCCCCAGAAGGAGGGGCTCTGTCCCCGGCCACGCCCGGCTTCCCACCCGCCTCCGAAGTCCAGGGGCTGCTTCGCCAGGCAGGACCAGCCGAGCCTCCCACGGAAGCCACACCCTCCCCCGGCATCTCCCGGCTGCATGGCTGTTGCTGCCACTGGAGTGACCGTCGTCCCTTGGCTGACCCTGCGGGGAATAATATCTCCTCATGGCCTCCTCTCCCAACAGTCTTCGCTCAGCCTTCCCAGGGCTCGAGGGGGAGCTGTACAAAAGGCAACCAGAAAAAGATGAAAGAAGCCTCGGGGGAGCTCCTGAGGCCATCTAGTCTAATCCTCTCAGAGCAGGAACCCAAATGAAAGCATCCCCTTGCCAAACGGCTGTGCCGCCTCCCCTTCAACCCAAGCGGCGGAGAGGACCCCTCCGCCACCTCTTTGGGCCCGTGGTTGCCCTGTCCAACTCTCTTTGGCCATCAGCCTCCGTCTCAGGCTCTCCTCGGCCGAGGTTCCCAGCCCAAAGGGGTACTCCACCCCACCCCGCCTGGTGCAAGATGGGCACGGTGCCCCCAGGGGCCTCTGGCCCTCCTTCCACCACCTCTGCTCCAGCCGGCTTTCTCCTGCAGAGGATTTCGGGGAGGGGGGATTCCGTGGGGGCTCCCTAATGGATCGTCTCACCTGTTGCCAGCCAGCCAGCTCCAGCCACTCCGCAGAGGGACCGACGGGGTGAGGCGTGTGGGTGCCGCCTCCCTTCTGAGGGGCTGCAGGGGCTGCCCCTCGCTGGCCTCCTCCCACTCCTCCTGGTCTCGCTCCCTCCCCAGATGACACGGCCGGGCTGCACACTCAGCACCTGGGCTTCAACCGGCAGGAGCAGGACCTGTTCCTGCTGCCCATCCTGGTGGTGGACAGCGGCCCCCCCGCCCTCAGCAGCACGGGCACCCTCACCGTCCGCATCTGCGGCTGCGACAACACCGGCACCATCCAGTCGTGCAACACCACTGCCTTCGCGGTGTCCCCTTCGCTCAGCCCCGGGGCCCTCATCGCCCTGCTGGTCTGCCTCCTCATCCTCGTAGGTGAGTGTTGTCTCCCCCCCCGGGCACCCCTCGATCCCCTGATGCTCCGCCCCCTGCACCGCGCTGCCCCAGGAGGCTGCCTGGCTGCCAGAAGGCGAGGTCCTGCCCGCAGCCCTTGGCACACCGGTGGGAATTTGGGGGGCCGGGGAGAGAGTTGTGTGGATCAGAGCCAGAAGCATCTGTCCAGGCCCAGGCAAGGCAGCCTCTTCCGGGGGCCGCTCAGGTCCTTTTGCTGTGCCTGGTGGGGCCGCTCCCAGGTCGATGCAGGGGGGCTTCTGCAAGGGGCCCCTCCCCCCTGAGCTGCTTCCTCTGAGACTTCAGGGCCTGCTCCGGGGGGGGGGGGTCAGCTGCAGCTCCTCAGAAAGGCCCCCCAGCTGTCTCTGGGTCCTGGTGGGGTGGGCCTCCTCCCCGATGGCTGCGGGCCCCTCCAGAGCCCCTTGGCCGGTGGGGGGGTGGGGGTGTCCGGGGGCTGCTCCATGGCCTGCCTCCCCCCCCCACATGCCTCCTGTCCCCGGCTGCAGTGCTGGTGCTGCTCATCCTGGCCCTGAAGCGCCACCAGAAGGGGCACCTGCCCTCCGAGGAGGACGAGGACATGCGCGACAACGTCATCAAGTACAACGACGAAGGGGGCGGCGAGCAGGACACCCAGGCCTACGACATGTCGGCGCTGCGCAGCCTCTATGAGTTTGGCGAGACCAAGGGGGGCGAGGAGAAGGGGGCGCCCCCACCGCCCTCGGAACTGCACTCCCTGCCCCAGTGGCGCCAGGCGCCGGACCTCGACTTCTCCCTCTTCAGAGACTACATCCGCCGTAAAGTGGGGCAGGCGGACGGCGACCCCTCCGTGCCCCCCTACGACTCCTTCCAGACCTACGCCTTCGAGGGGGCCGACTCCCCGCTGGCCTCCCTCAGCTCCATCGCTTCCCGCTCGACCGGCTCTGAGCAGGACTTCTCCTACCTCGGCGCCTGGGGCCCCCGTTTCCGGCAGCTGGCGGCGCTCTACGCCGGGGCCCGGGCCGAGGAGAGCAGCCGGGAGACCTAGGCCCAGCTGGAGCAGGGCTCCTGGGGCCCAGGGGCCACCCAGAGACCTTGGGGGCTCGGGGTGAGGAGGGAGGAGGGCCTGACCAGCAGCCCAACCCCGTGGAGCCCCCCCTCCCTGGAGGAAGGACGGGTGCCAGGCCCCTCCTCTGGCAAATCATCCTTTAAATCGATCTGTGTCGGAAGAGAGCTGCCCGGGGGGGGGGGGCGATGTGGGTGGGGGGAGCCTTTTGTTGCCGAAATGGTTTTGTCCCTTGACTCTCAGCCTCTGACAAGCTTTGATCTGCTAAGCAGCGCCTCTGCCAAGAGCCCAGTGCTCCTCTTCTTGTGGGGGGGGGGGCACCCAGCCAGGCCAGTCAAGATCCAGCCACAGATGCTCTCCCTGCCCCCGCTTCCCTGTCCAGAGGCCCCAAGACCCTGCTGCCCCCCCACCCCCCACCCCCATTCCTCTGCAGGCTGCGGTGTGGCCGGCCGGAGCCCAGCAAGTGGCCCCCTTTGGGCCCTGGGAGTCCCTCGGCCCTGGCTCCCCTTGGAAGAGGCCCTGGGGGGACTGGGCCAGGTTCGGCCAGGTTCTGGGACCAGGTGCAGCCCCCCCCCCAGCCCTGCTGCTCTCAGGGCATGTTCTAGGCTGCCGCCCCCCCCTAAGGCCGGCAGCCCCTCCCCCCTTGACTGAGAGGCCTCGTCTCAGGATATCTGCCCCTCGCCCTCCCCCCTGACCACTGTGACTCCCTCTGGCCCGTCTGCCAGGGGTGGAGTGGAGGCGGTTGGCCCTCCAGCTCAGGAACTTCCATGGTTCTTTTCTGGCCCCGGGTGGGGAGCCAGCCCCCCCCCGTGGAAGTGGGCAGCCAGACGGGGGAGGGGGGGGCAAGGGGCCAAACAGGGTATCTGACATTTTTCATCCAGCTTCCTTCCAGCACTGCTGCACACAGAACAGCCGTTGGGGGAGGGGGGGTCACACGGACGCCCCCCCAACACTGAAGGCACTGAGCCCTCCCCTCTCCCCCTGCCCCAAGTGGGGAGGAGGGAGCTGGGAGCCCCCCCGGAAGGTGCCAGCTGGGGGAGCCCCGAAGGTCCTTCTGGGACGTGAAATAAACCATTTCCTTCTCACCCCCGAGGCCTCCATCATCGTCCTGATTCTTCCGGGGCAGTGAGGGGGGGGGTCAGGGGTCAGGTGGGCACCTGCACACTCGCAGGGTCTGGGAGGGAAGGGGGGAGGGAGGAGGGAAAGGCCGGGGGGGGTCTGTCTGCAGCTGGACCCTTCTTGCTCTCTGCCACAGAACTGAGCCCTGCTAGAGCCCCCCTCGCCCCAAACTGGGGCCCTTTGAATATGCTCAGAGGGGGCCCCTCTCCTGGCCTTAGTTCCACCCCCAAAGTGAAGCCAGCAGGTGTGGAATCCCCGCCCCCAGTCAAGCAGGGTCAAGGCCTTGGGCAGGGGGGACCCGCCCTCTGGTGCCCCAGCCGCCCTTCAGCGCTTGCTGTGCCTGCTTGGATTTGGGCTGCCTGCCTGCCTGCCTGTGTGTGTGTGTGTGTGTGTGTTGTGTCTCCTGGGCCAGAAGCCCCGGGGGCTCTCCCATTGCGGAAGAGGGGGCAATGTGGGGTCCTGCCCAGCAACCTTCTCCAGCTGCCTGCCTGGCATTTCTTCCTCTGACAAGCCCGTCTTCTGGGGGGGGGGGGGGGGGGGGGGCCCGAAAGCAAGGGAAGAAAAAAAAATCTCCTTCCTCCACTTTATTTATTTCCTGCCGGCCAGGAACGGGGTTGGCCCGGGGAGAACTTGGCTCCCTGGCCGAGAGAACCCCGGTGGGCGTGAGGCAGCCTCCTCCAGGGCCTGTTGGGGGGGCAGCAGGGAGGGGGATGGAGGAGGGGAGGGGCTTCTCTGGCACAATGCATGGGGCTTGGGGGAGGGGGGGAGACCCTCCCAGCCCCTGGAGTCTGTAAGCAGAACGAGGAAAGTCACTTGCAGGATCTATTTATTTATGACTTCAATTTATGGGGCCACCCAATTCACGGTGACCTGGGCAGCTGATGGATTGACGAGAGGACCCCCATACCTCGGGCCAGAATAAATGTCCTATAAGGAGAGGAAACGCGGGGGGGGGGGGGGGCGGGGCGGTTGCCCTGCAGACATTTCCTTCATTCCGATGTGGTGCGGGAGTCACAGAACAAACTTGGTCCTGTCCAAAGAGCCCCTCCCAGACCCCACCGATAGCCCCCGGGAAAAGCCAGGTGGGGGGGGGAGCCCCCGGTCTCAGAGGGCAAGTGCTGTGATTGGGAAGGACGGGGGTCGGCAATGGGAGGGGCCTCGTCTGCAGGCGGGGTAAGAGCAGGAGCCAGCCGGGGGATGAGTCTGCCAAGGAGGCCCAGACGGTTGCAGCACAAATGGCTGCAGCCTCCAACCCCCCCCCCGCCCCCCC